GGAAGAATCACAGAGCTGGAAACTAAACTCTCCATCTTTCTTCTCCTGGCTCTGAGAACTTGGGCAGGGGACTTCCTCTGAACTTTGATCCCTTCTATTCTCCCTCCCCTCCCCCCAAATTACCTGGAAAAGATCCAGAATGAAAGGAGAAGCTAGAAGGGAGGAGAATTTGAAAGATCTTGGTTCAGTCCCTTCCCATCTGGTCATCCATTTCCTCACCTCTGCAGCTGAGGCTCTTTCCTTCTTGGGGCTCTGGTCTGGCATTCGGGTTGGAGACTTCTGCACAGGCAGGCCTGGCTGCACTCTGCGTTGCTGTGTGGGACTGGGGGGCATCTGGGATGGGTGAGGGGTGCTTGCAGCCGAGCTGTTGGGTCTGTAGGAATGGCTCTTTGGAGTCCTGGCACCTGCTGGGCCTGGTGGCCAGTGGGAACAGCATCTGAGCTGGGGAAGGGGGAGGTAGACACAGGGCTGGAGCAGCATCAGGAAATCTGGTCTTCCTGTCCAGGCCTGCTGTGTCCATGTGGTCTTGACTTGGATGTTGATGTGCACACTGAAGGCCTTCCAAGTGTGGACCCCAGCGAGGTGCCCAGTCCCTCTTTCTGCCTTCCCCTGGAGGCGGGTGGGAGTTCAAGTCACAGAACAGGAGCCTGGGCTTAGAGAAGCTAAATGCGGGTGCCACAGTCACCCAGCAAGTGAGTCCAGGCTTTTGGGGTCTGGGTGATTTGTGGGTGTCTGATTCCTGTACCCAGGGCGAGTGTAGGGCTGGTGACCCTGACCCCTGGGCCTCAGCTCTGCCTGCTGCTTTTCCTTTTGGCCTCAGGTCTGGGTGGTTGTGGTAAAAAGTACAGTAGAGGCAGGGAGGCCTTTAAAGCCAACTGGCTGTAGGTGTGACTCCTAGCCTGGCCACCTGTGTGCCATATCTGATGGTGGGAAAGTATCTGCTCTGAGCCTCAACTTCCCTATCTGCCCGTTGAGGTTGACAGGGCCAGTCCCAGCTTTGACTGGTGGGGTAAAGGTCACATGAGCCAAAGGGTGTGCTGTGCTGGCAGCCAATGTTTATCTGCTGTGAAGAGGAAGGTGATTTCCTAGCCAGGCAATCACTGGGCCTCCTGAGGGCGCAGGGATCCAGGAAGCCCTGGGGCTGGGCCCGACTACCTGTCTGACTTAGTAGCTGCATTGATTGGTTGATTCGAAGCTATTAGCTTTACCCGGGCTTTTCTTTCTGTTTTTTGTCCATTGTGGGGCTTGAACTCAGGGCTTGGGCACTGTTCCTGAGCGTTTTTTTGCTCCTAGTTAATGCCACTTTAAGTCACAACTCTACTCCCAGTTTTCTGCTGGTTGATGGGAGATAAGAGTCTCATGGACTTTCCTGCCCTGGCTGGCTTTGAACCTTGATCCTCAGATCTCAGCCTCCTGAGTAGTGAGGATGACGGGCGTGAGCCACTGGCGCCTGGCCTCCATCCAGGCTTTCTCATGGAAGCCTTGCCTTAGCTCCTCCCTGTCCTGTGACCTGCCAAGTCCTCTGCCCTGAGTCCCTGTGGCATTTGACACCCCGTTTCTGAGCAGGCCCATCTCTCCAGAGCACTAGCTTCTTCCAGTCTGCCTCTGTGACCTGGGAGGCAGGAACAGGCAGGAGGCCCTCTGGGCTCTCGTTTTCTCCAGAGGTATCTGAGGACAGGGAAGCCCTGGCTTTGTGGCCCGGGCTCCTGGAGATGCCACTGGCCTGGGAAGAGCTCCATTGTCAGCCCTGCCCTCAGCATCTCCCTTGTGTCCTGGCTGTGCAGGAGACGCCGTAGCCCCTTCATCTATTGGCTGTCTTCACGCTTGCCTGGGTGGTCTGGCCCCCATGCCTGGGCCTGCGGCCAGTCTTCCAGCCCCACATTCCCCTTGCTCAGGCCCCTCCGGCGCCCGGCGCCCGTGGCTGCAGGCTTGCGTGCCTGCTCTCTGTGCGCCCAGCACTGGGGTTCTTTTTCCTGCCAGTGAATATGTGGTGGCTGTCACTCCCTGGCAGGCCGCGCGTTAGCATTTACAGAGTGCTGGCTGACCAGCCCCGCCAGCCATGGGAGGGGATGGCTGCCATGACCGCCTTGTTTGGCCAATGAGGAAACTCTGGCCTCAGATCAGACTCCTGCCAGGGCCCCAGGAAGGCCTTGATTGACTGTGAAAAGGAGGCTCAGAGACGCAAGTGACTTGTCTGTGTTGCACAGCAGCGAGGGGTGGACAGACACATGAACCCACTGGGGACGAGGACGGGGCAGGCCCCCAGCAGGCCAGCCCTGGGCTTCCTGCAGTGGCTGTTGGTGTCTGCATGCACGGTTGAGCCTCTTGGTTGGTGCCAGGCAAAGCACTGAGTGTATCTTAACCTCACTGCAACCTGTGTGGTGATGATGCATGCCCCTGCCCTTTCCCCAGAGGCTCAAGGACTTGCCCAAGGTCGTCCTGTGTGTGGATTTGAACTCAGAGCTCCTGAGCACCGCAGGCCTGCCTTTCTCATCTGCTCTGAGCTCTTCTCTGCCGCGTGCCTGACTTTGACCATCACTCGCATCCTCTCCCTGCTCCTTCCTGGACCGTGGGGAGAGCAGATGTCGCCAGTCCAATTCTGGGGGCTCCCGTGGAATATCATGAAAGAACCTTCCACTTCCCAGGTGGGGAAACTGAGGCACAGGACCTGGGAAGGGACTTGGCTGCTTCAGACTAGATGGAGGCGGTCTTCTTTGCGCTGGGACTTTGGGCTCAGTTTCCTCATCTGGGAAATGGGTTAGCCAACATGGGGTTGTGGTAAAAGATGGATCTACATACGCCAAGGATAAAATAGCCCAAGGCCTGGCTTAGAGGCAGCCCCCAATGAAACAGGCAGGCAGGGCTCTTGCTGGCAGGGTGGGATGATCAGAGGCCCAGGGTGGGGTGGGTGGAGGGAGCTGGTCACAGAGTGCGGCTGGACCGTGGGGGGTGTTTTTCACGGATGATCACTGGTCAGGTCCCTTTCCTCCAGATTGATCTCAGCTCAGCCCCGCGCAGCCCGGCGCCCCACCCCCGCCCCGCCCCGCCAGGTGCTCCCGAAAGCCTCAGAACCAGATGAGCCACCGTTCTATTTGGGGACAATTCTGCTGTTCCCGTTTCAATCCTGTGCCCTAGTTTTAGAAGCAATGTGGGTTTGGTTACCAGTTGGCCATTTGCAGAAATCTTCCCCCTCCCCCCCTCCACCCACTCTGCCTAAACCTTAGCTCTGCGGGGCGACCTGTGTGAGGCGGGGCCTGGCTCTCAGGGCTCCGCCCCTGTGCTCTCTGGGGGAGGAGCTGGCAGCTGGCCTTGATTATCTACTGGTGATGTCTGGGCCTAAGATGGGTGCTGGAGACCCTCAACGATGCTTTTTGGATGTACGCTTGTACTCTGGGAGAGCTAGATGTAGATCCTAATTAATACCCTGCTGTGGGGTAGGTGACATAGGACCGGTAGGAGCCTAGTACAAGGCCAGGAGAGCTTCCCAGAGCAGGTGATCCCTAGCCTGACCCACAGAGGAGTGAGGGTATTCTGGGTAGAGGGGCAGCATACACAAAGGCCCTGGGGTAGGGAATGGCTTGGAGGGGCGATCTGAAGGGGACTTGGTAAATTGGCAGGCCTGGCTGTGCTTGGGTGCAGGGCCCCCGCTGCGATACTGAGGGGTGGCTTCCGGGTCCCCCGGGGCTCCCAGCACAGAAGACAAAGCGTCTTTGTGGTGGCGCAGATGGAGGCTGAGAGCCCCACTGAATGTGGGCTCTGGGCTGCGTGCCCCTCCTCTGCCCTGGGTTCCTTTGGCCCCCGAGGGTGGGAAACGCAGCTGGGTTATGGGGTGGTGGGGGGACACCCCTCCTCCTGGAGCTCAGGAAGTCCTGCTCATCCAGGCCCTCATTCTGCGCCACAGCGCCCGCCCGGCTACCTCCCCTCCGAGGCTCTGCCCATGCGTGCACGCCTGCATCCATGCATGCATCCATGCGTGCGGCCACCCATCCCGGAGCTCCCCGTCCCCCTCCCAGGCCGGCCCTGTGCTTTGGGCCACTGTCTGTGAGGACCTGAAGCTACTGAAGCTTCCCTTTGGAGTGCTGTTCCCCATCTTCAACCCAGTGTGCATTCAGCTTGGGTGTGCGTGGAGGGGGGACGGAGCAGGGAAGGGGGACCTGAGGGCTTCACCAGGAGGTCATGTGGGAAGGTGGCTTTTGAACTGAGGCTGGAGGGAAGGGCAGGTGGGCATGCTGCCACTGGAACATATGGTTAGGAAGGAGAGCAGGGAGGGAGTGAGGGGGAGGGAGGTATGGCGGGAGGTATGCTCTGGGCAGGAGGAACTGTGTATGCAAAGGTCCTGAGGCAGAAGGGTCCTGAGTTCCCAGGGAAAAGGGAAAGGACTAGGCCGGTGTGTGGAGCCCAATGAGGTAAGGAGAGGGTCTGGCAGAGACTATGTGTGGGGCCTTGGAGCCCCTGTAAGGACTTAGCCCTTCTCTTTTTGGGAGTCCTGGGGCTTGAACTCAGGGCCTGGGTGCTCTCCTTGAGCTCTTCAGCTCAAGGCTAACACTCTTATCGCTTGAGGCACAGTGCCACTCCCAGTGTTCTGGTGGTTCATTGGAGATAAGAGTCAATGGATTTTCCTGCCTGGGCTGGCTTTGAACCTGACCCTCAGATCTCAGCCTCCTGAGTAGCTAGGATTACAGGTGTGAGCCAAGGGGGGCCCTGGCATGGACTCTGTCCTTTATCTTAGGGGGTTTGAGGCCTGGAGGGGTTAGGGGAGGCTCACAGTTTGGGTTGGCACTTCGGAGGGGCTTTCTGCTCTCACTTGGATAGCCTGAGAGGGAGAAGCTGGCCTGCCCAAGGGAGGCGGAGAGAGGACTCGGGCCATTTGGAGCTGGGACTTGGTGGGGTTTGGGGCCGGGTTTCAGGGAATGAGGAGTCACATTATGTAGGGCCATGGCAGATCCCCAGCTTTCTGGTTCACCTCCCCAGCCCTCTGTAGGTCTACCCGGAGACACAGGAGCACCACTTCCCCACAGCCCCACGGCTGGACCGAAGCCCTCAGAGCCTGAGTCCTCATCTTCACACACAGAGGACAGGATCCAACCCATTTCACAGGTGAGGAAATTGAAGCTCAGAGTCTTTTACCCAGGTGGGATCCTACAGGGCTGATAAAGTAGCACTTGGAGCCGAGCGCCGGTGGCTCACTCCTGTAAGCCTAGCTACTCAGGAGGCTGAGATCTGAGGATCACGGTTCAAAGCCAGCTTGGGCAGGAAAGTCTGTGAGACTCCAATAAACCACCAGAAAATTGGAAGTGACGCTGTGGCTCAAGTGGTAGAATGCTCACCTTGAGCTGAAGAGCTCAGGGACAGTGCTCAGCCCAGAGTTCAAGCCCCATAACCGACAAAAAAAGTCTCATGGATGTTCCTGCCCAGGCTGGCTTGGAACCACAATCCTCAGATCTCAGCCTCCTAAGTAGCTAGGATTACAGGTGTGAGCTATGGATGCCCAGCAGATCAGGGTTTTTATAGCAAGTCACACATTGCCCAGGCCCTGGGCCAGCTCCCCCTGCCCTGTGTGGACAGCAGGTCCCCCATCCTCTCGCTCGCTCCCCAACCCCACCAGTGCTTCCAGCCTGCCTGGAGTTGCCCCGCCCCACCCAGCCGCACCGGCAGAGCCGGTTTGAGGCTGGCCAGCCCTGAGCGTGTTCCTGCCGCCAGGCAGGACCAGGCATGCTCTGGCTTCCCTGGCCCTGCCATGGCCCCCCACTCCCTCCTCTCTTGCCCCTGTCCATTCAGCAAATATCCCCTGTGATCCAAGTCCCAGGCCCTGACCTGTGCTGGGCACGGCCTGGGGCCTCCTGCAGTTGTCTCAGACTTGTGCACACTGCTGTCACTCAGAGGTGGGCAGAGGCTCTGCTGTGAGGGTGTGCCTGAAGCTAGCACAGACTTGGCCTCGAGGCGGGCAGGCGCGGGGCCTGGCCTGCTACGCTTCATCAGGGCAGGGTGGGGGGGCACAGGGTGTGGTTTATGTATCTATATATCCCTCATCCAGCCCTCATCCATCCATCCATTCACCCATCCATCCATCAGTCCATCATCTACCCATCTGTCCATTACCCACCCGTCATCCATCCATCCATCCATCCATCATCCACCCATCTGTCCATTACCCATTTATCATCCATCTATCCATCCATCCATTCATCCATCCATCCATCAGTCCATCATCTACCCATCTATCCATTACCCATCCATCATCTATCCATCCATCATTCATCTATTATCCATCCATCCATTACCTATCTATCCATCACCCACCCATCATCCATCCATCCATCCATTACCTATCTGTCCATTACTTACCCATTATCCATCATCCATCCATCATCCACCCATCTATCCATTACCCACCCATCATCCATCCATCCATCCATCATCCACCCATCTATCCATTACCCATCTATCATCCATCCATCCACCCATCCATCCATTACCCATCTATCATCCATCCATCCATCCACCCATCCATCCATCATCCACCTATCAACCTATCCATTCATCCATGTGCCCATCTATCCTTCTAACCACATACCATTCCTCGGTTGAGTCATCATTCCACCATCCATCCATCCATCTAGCATTCTACCTACCTGTCCATTTATTCATCCATCCACCCCTACTGATATTGTCCACCCACTCACCCCCCTACCCATCCACTCACTGAGATATCATTCCACCCACCCACACATCTCCATTCACTTAGAGGGTAATAAATGCCATGGCTTCCACATAAATGGGGAAGGAGGTTGAAATGCCAGCTGGGGCATAGAATGGGTGACCAAGGAAGGTGCTCGCATTGAAAAAGAGAAGGAAGGAGCCATACTGCTTCCTGCATGAGATCATTTAGAGAGGGCAAAGTCAGTGCAAAGACCCTGGGGCAGAGGTGTGTGTGCCGAGGTGGGAGAAGGGCAGCAAGGGGCAGGGGGAGGAGAGTGAGCTGGAGAGAGTGGAGTAAGTTGAGGGCAGCAAGATGGAGCAGATCAGGGAGGACTGCAGCCCATTCTGCAGACGTTGGAGTAGGATGGGGCCACAGGAGCATCCTGGGTGCATGTGGCTTCGGTGTGCAGAGCAGCCGTGGGGGGGGGCAGGTGGGCAGTGAGGAGTGGGGCTCATGGGAATGAGTAGTTGTTGGCAGGAGTTGGGCACCGATCTTTTTATTATGTAATAGAACCTGCCTTGTTTTTGAGGTACATTAATATCATGACCCCATGAGCCCATCACAGTCCCCTGGGCCCCATACCCACCCTGCCTGCTCCATGCCTCTCCCCATACCCACCCTGCCTGCTCCATGCCTCTCCCTTCTTACAGCAAACCCCGGGAGCCCTGACTCACATGTGACCACTTCAGTGTGTACCTTTGAGAGGAGGACTGAACCAGGTGACTCACGCCTATAATCCTAGCTACTCAGGAGGCTGAGATCTGAGGATTGCAGTTCGAAACCAGCCTGGGCAGGAAAGTCCATGAGACATATCTCCAATAAACTGCTCAGAAAAAGCTGGAAGTGGCGCTGTGACAGTGGTAGGGCACTAGCCTTGAGCACAAGGAGGCTCAGGGACAGCACCCAGGCCCTGAGTTCAAGGCCCCAGGACCAGCAAAAGAAAGAAAAGAAAGAAAGAAAAAAAGAAAGCAAGAAAGGAAGAAAGGAAGGGAGGAAGGAAGAACTATTGGGATTAAAAAAAAAACATCAATTGCTTAGTGCCAGCACCATCCCTTCCCCCCCCCCCAGGCCGACTTTGACAGAGCCCTGGACTCCTGGCACTCCCCCCTCCCCCGCTCCCTGCCCCCCCTTCCCTGATGTGGCCTTGAAGTATGTGGCTGGCTGGCGCACATGGGATGCGGTTTGAGCGCATGCAGTACCTGTACCAAGTAGGTGCTCAGTAAGTCCTCAAGCTGGCTGGCTGTGGTCTGAACACCCAGGGACCTGAGCTGCGCTCTGGGCCTCATCCTGCGGGCGACTCATTCCTCCCAGCAGTTGTTTGAAGGAGGCTATTTATTATGTATATCCCTATTTTATTTTATTTATTCCTTTGTTTTGTGTTGGTCCTGGGGCTTCAGTTCAGAGCCTTGCCCTCTCAGTTCTGGTGCTTTACCATTTGAGCCAGGCCTCCAGTCCAACTTTTTTTTTTGCAGTTGTGGGGCTTGAATTCAGGGACTGGGCACTGTCCCTGAGCTCAAGGCTAGCACTCTACCACTTTGAGCCACAGCGCCACTTCTGGTTTTCTGGTGGTTTACTGGAGATGAGTCTCATGGACTTTCCTCTCCTGGGCTGGCTTTGAACTGCGATCCTCAGGTCTCAGCCTCCTGAGTAGTTAGGATTACAGACATGAGATACTAGTGTCCAGCCAGTCAGTTTTTGGGAGTTAATTGGAGATAAGACTCTCTTAAATTTGTCTGCCCAAACATGGGCTGGCTCTAACCCCTCATTTCTTGACACCTCAGCCTGCAGAGTAGCTGGGATTGTAGGCATGAGCTGCCAGAGCCCATCTGGTTTTATTATTTTTATCTTATTTTATTTTTTAGCTAGGTCTTACTATGTAGCTCAGGCTGACCTGGAACTCATCATCTACTCCAGGATGGCCTTGAAGTTGAGATCCTCCTGCCTCAGCCTCCCAAGTGCTGGGGTTACAGGTGTGTCCTCCCTGGCTCAGCTTTATTCCTGTTGTGTAAGAGAGGAAGCAGGCACAGAGAAGTAGAGACATTTCCCCAAGGTCACACAGTGCGAAGACCTACATCTGAGTTTGGAGACCAACAGTTCAGTTCTTGGTCCCTGTTCAGTAGGGTCTTTGGGGGCCAGGAAAGAGGGGTACTTCTTTGTGCCTGCAGGCAGGTAAATGGGGGTACTGCCTGTGGTCAGTCTTGTGGGGTGCCCTGAGCTATTAGAGGGGTAGTAGAACTTCACGGGAGGAAACAACACGTACTCAGGCTGGGAAGCTGGAGACTCAGCAGGGAAGAGCAAAGGGCTGGGGAGCAGGGAGCGAGTCGCCCCACTGGGAGGGCCCTGCCCCGCACCCACTGCCCCACAGGGTAGAGGGAGAGCTGGGCTTTTGGCTGTGGAGGGGGGACCGTTGACTGATGGCGGGGTGGGGCTTGGCCACTGGGCGCGCCTGCCCACCCGTGTCCCCGAGGGTGTGGGCGGGAGGGGGCACAGCGTTCCCGGAGCTGCCAGCAGGGAACAGCGGGGCCGTGGGCAGGGGCCGGCTGGCACAGCCCCCAGCCCATCCTCTGCCAGCTCCGGGAGGGGCGGCTGGGGGCCCTGAAACCCCCCCGTGCTCCTCAGTCACCCCTAGGTCCTGAGGGTCAGGGGACCCCATGTGGTCACGCCCACACACCCCTTGGCGGTCAGCCCTTACCGGCCAGGCCGGGGTGTGTATGGGGTGACACTGGGGTCCCTGAGGCCTGTCTGGACATGGACTTCCCCTCCCTGCTTCTCCCCAGCGCAGAGTTCTGGGACCTGGCACCCCCAGAATCCTGGAGCACGGCCCTGCGCAACCCCTTGGCCTCCGGTGTCACTCAGACGCAGGCCTGGGCCTTGCTGTGTGACCTGAGGCTGGCCGTGTCCCCCTCTGAGCACCAGCCTTCCCTCCCACTTGCTCTGAGTCTGCCTGGTCGTGAACTCTGGGGCAGACACTAGGATGGACTTCCCATCGAAGTCCATAGAACCCCCTCGCAGTACCAGGATCCTCCGCTCTGTGGTTTAGGGGGACCCAGCTGACCCTCCCCAATGACCTCTTAGGCATGGGACCCCCAAGAAAAGCAGGAGTAATGGGGTGGGGAGTGCATACCTGACTTCTGTAGCCCCTTCCCCCATACTGCCTCCTCCTCAGGGAAGCCCACCAGGATTTCCAGGCCACCCTAGACCCCCACATCTCCCTTGGTCCCTTCCCCTCCTCTCCAGGGCTGCTACCTCTGTGCAGTGGAGAGGGAAGGGGCTTCGAAGGGATGGGGTGAAGCCCCAGTGGGAGGGTTCGAGGGGGAAAGGCAGACAGACAAGCTGCAGGTCCCTCTGTCCTGACCCGCCCTCAGCCCTGCCCCAGCCTGACTAGATGAAGGGCCAGCTCGGCCAGAGACCCTGCTGAGTTCCCGGACCAGGTTGGGCCCCTGTGGCTCCAACTGTAATCCTAGCTACTGGGGAGGCTCAGACCTGGAGGATGATGGATGAAGCACAGTGGCTCATGTCTGCAATCCCAGCCCCTCAGGAGGCTGAGAGCCGTCATGGGGCCTGAACTCTGGGCCCGGGCGCTGTCCCTGAGCTCTTCAGCTCAAAGCTAGTGCTCTACCACTTGAGACAGAGCACCACTTCGGTTTTCTGGTGGTTTATTGGAGATAAGAGTCTCACGGCTTTTCCTGCCTGGGCTGACTTTGAACCATGATCCTCAGATCTCAGCCTCCTGAGTAACGAGGATTATAGGTGTGAGCCACCAACGCCCGGCACTCCATCCTTAATTAGTCAGCAAAATGCTGTACTGAAAGTGTAGCTCAAGTGGTAGAATGTCAGTCAGGAGCACAAGACCCTGAGTCTAAACCCAGGACTGAAAAAGAAAAGGACTCCGGACTCCCTCAGGAGCCTTTCCTAGCGGCAGGGATTTGTCACCAGCTGGACAGTAGGCACATCCCGAGACCTGCCTGCACTTTGGTTTTCTCCTCTGTTAAATGGGCTCAAAAAAGCCAGGTGCTTATGGCTCATGCCTGTAATCCTAGCTACTTAGGAGGCTAAGATCTGAGGATCACAGTTCAAAGCCAGCCTGGGCAGGAAAGTCTGTGATACTCTTATCTCCAATAAACCACTCAGAAAACTGGAAGTGGCGCTGTGGCTCATGTGGCAGAGCACTTGCCTTGAGCTGAAGAGCTGAGGGACGGTGCCCAGGTCCAGAGTTCAAGCTCCACAACCAACAAGAACAACAACAAAAAAAGAATAGCACATGATAAGAAATGTGCACATTATCTTACCCATGTAATTGTAACCCCTCTGTACAGTATTTTCACAAAAATATATTAAAAAAAAAGAATAGCACATAGGCTTTGCAGGGTAGGACACGCCTGTAGTCTCAGCCTCTTGGGAAACTGAGGCAGATCACTTGGGCACAGTCACAAGTGAGATCTCTTCAAAAATAAAGCAGACAAAACCCCACCCTGGCGAGCTGAAGTTTTTCTTTTTCTTTTGGTGGTGTTGGGGTTTAATCTCAAGGCCTCACGCTTGGTAAGCTGGAGCAATACCTGATGAACCATGTCTGCGGCCTTTTTTGCTATTCCTGGAGTTTGAACTCAAGGCCTCACAATTGCTCAGCTTCTTTGGCTAGTGCTTTATCACTTGAGCCTGGCGTCTAGCATCGCTGTTTCTTGTTTCTCCCTCCCCCGCTCCCAGTAACGTAGCTTGAATTCAGGTCCTGAGCACTGTCCCTTAGTTTTTTCCACTCAAGGCTGGTGCTCTACTTCTTGAACCACACTTCCATCTCTGGCTTTTTGCTGATTAACTGGAGATAAGAGGATTCCCTCCCAGTCTGGCCTGCTCAGGCTGGCTTTGAACGATGATCCTTAGGTCTCAGACTTCTGAGTAGCTAGGATTATAGGCAAGAGCTACCGGATTACTGGTTATTTATTAAATAGGGTCTCTTTTCCAGCCTGTGTGTGGGCCTGGAATGATGCACTTTCTTTCTTTCTTTTTCTTTTTGTCTGTTGTGGGGCCTGAGCTCTTGGCCTGGGCGCTGTCCCTCAGCTCTTCAGCTCAAGGTGAGCTCTCTACCACTTGAGCCACAGCCCCACTTCCCATTTTCTAGTGGTTTATTGGAGATAAGAGTCTTTGGGACTTTCCTGCCCAGGCTGGCTTAGAACCATGATCCTCAGATCTCAGCCTCCTGAGTAGCTAGGATTACAGGTGTGAGCCACTGGTGCTGGCTTTTTTTTTTTTTTTTGGTCCGGTTGTGGGGCCTGAACTCTGGGCCTGGGCGCTGTCCCGCAGCTCTTCAGCTCAAGGCTAGCACTCTACCACTTGAGCCATAGCGCCACTTCCGGCTCTTTTCTTTTTGCTTATGTGGTGCTGAGGAATCAAACCCAGGGCCTCATGCATGCAAGGCAAGCGCTCTACCACTGAGCCACCTTCCCAGCCCTGGCTTTTTTTTTTTTTTTTAAAAGACAAGAGTCTCACTGTGTATCTCAAGTGGGCCCTAAACTCCCAGTCTTTTGCTGCCTTTGCCACTGGGGTGCTGGGATTACAGGAGGCTGCTAGCACATTGGCTCCTAGGTAATGCTTCTGCTAATGTGAAGGAAAGAGGGGAACCTGTGCCCTCTCCCCCTCCCCCCATCCCCCCCCTGCCTGGGCCCCCAGGGCAGGGCTTGGAGGCCGAGGGTGGGCCTGCAGTGCTCCTGCACGCTGCGGCCTGGCTGCTGTGTGGTCCCCAGCCCATGCTCGTTTCTCGTGCAGGTGTCTGTTTTCCCCTTGGGGAAATGCGCTGGCAGTGGGGCTGGGGCCCAGCTGGGACTAGTGATGGGGAGGTGGGGGGGGAATGGGTCCTCTGTCATCTGGGAGGGTGGCCTGACTTGGCCTCCGTGCCCCTGTCCTGTGTCTGGGCTGGCTGCAGGCGGCCGGGCGTGGCTGTGAAGGCCTTTGCGGGGATCAGCCCCAGCTGCCTGGGCGTCTCCATGGCACCAAAGGGAGTCTGGGGGTGGGGTGGGGAGGGGGCTCGCTTGACACGATGCTGCACTCCCACCTGCCCAGCTGGGGGCCCATTAGGACTTGGTGCTCCCCTGGGCAGAAGCTGCCCACATCCACCCATTGTACCCATCCCTACCCCATGACATTCCTGGGCCACTAAGAACAGCTCCCACCTTGGCCCTCTCTGGGGGTGTGTGTGTGGATAGAGGCCCTCTCTGTACCTCCTCTAGGGGGAGTCTTGGGGTACCCAAGGCTGCTGAGCCCAGAGGCGAGACACTTGCTTCCTGAATCTGGATGACCTCAGGCAAGCAGCTAAGCCTCTCTGTACCTCCATTTCCTCATTCACAAAATGGAGATGCACATTTGGGGCTGGGGGGGTCTCCTGTGCACGCAGCTTACTTATTAGCGAGGTGTGTGTCCCCAGGAATCTCTCCCGGGCAATTATCCGGCACTGCCACCCGCCTTCCTGAGCCCCAGGTTGCCTGACAGGCCCCTGTGGACTTCTTCTCTGGACCCGGGCATAGGAGAGGGAGGATCTGAGAAAAGCTGGTGCTGGAGGTTCCGAGCGTGCTGCAAGGCCTCAGACAGGGCCTGGCCCTCCCTGAGCTACCCCCCAGCCTGTTTCTTTCCCAGCCCCTCACAGTCCCAGTCACTGGCACTTGTCACTGCAGCTGCTCCACATTTGTCTTTTCCCACCACAGTAACTGACACTTAGTAGGTGCTCATTTAAGCTTTGCCGGAGCAGGCATGATTGCTCAGGAAGCGGGGGACTGCCCTGGGCCTTTTGTTGCTGGGCCTCTGCATACACAGGGACGCCTTCTTCTGTTCAGTCCTGAAGCCTGCCTCTTCCAGGCAGCTGGCCAGGCCTGCGCGTGTGAGAGGACCGGGGCATGGGATGTGTGTTGCTTGGCCCCTGCGCTGCAGCCTCATGCAAGGCGCATGCGCTCATCTCCCCCATTTGCAGAACAGAGCTGGAGCCTCGGACGCGTCGTGACTGCAGTCATGAGCAACGGAGCCAGGAGCTGAGCCTAGGTAAGCCCACCTTGCCCCAGAGGGGAAAGCAGACACACACACACACACACACACACACACACACACAAAAGCAGACACACACACACACACACACACACACACACGCCCAAAGGATACCAGGCAAAGTAAGTCTCTCAAACCCCAAGTCAGCCATGGCCAAGAATTTTGGGGGTCCTCCCAGAAATGGGGAACATAGCAAGGTTTCCTGATTCAGGTTTTGTTACACATGGTTTTGACCATGAATGGTCAAAAAAAAAATAATGAAGAAGAAACTTTGTTGTCGTTGTTGGTTGTGGGGCTTGAACTCTGGGCCTGGGCATTGTCTTCAGCTCAAGGCAAATGCTTTACTATTTGAGATAGTGCCATTTTCCGTTTTCTGGGGGCTAATTGGAGATAGGAGTCTCATGGACTTTCCTGCTTGAACTGCCAGTCTCAGATCTCAGCCTCCTGGGTAGCTAGGTTTAGTTGGGATTATAGGAATGAGATACTGACACGCAAGGTCCCCTTCCCTCCCAAGCTGGCTTTGAACCATGAGTCTCAGCTTTCGGTTTCCTATGAAGCCAGAGCTACAGGCTTGAGCCACTGATGCCCAGCTCACTGCTGGCTTTGAACTGTGATCCTCAGGTCTCACCTCCTGAGTAGTTAGGGGTGCAGGCGTAAACTACCCAACACTCGGCAACTATTTTTGTTGTTGTTGTTGATTGTGGGGCCTGAACGCTGGGCCTGCACGCTGTCCCTCAGCTCTTCAGATCAAGGATAGCACCCTATCTACCACTTGAGCCACAGCACCACTTCCAGTTTTCTGAGTGGTTTATTGGAGATAAGAGGCTCATGGACTTTTCCTGCCCTGGCTGGCTTTGAACTTTGATCCTCAGATCTCAGCCTCCTGAGTAGCTGGGATTACAGGCATGAACCATGGCTCCCAGCTCCACTCCCTGTTTCAATTTTCTTCTCTTGTATCTTTGTGTGGGTTTCGTTATCAAGGGAACATGGGCTTCGTTGCCTGAGTGGGCTGTGAGGATTTGAGTGAAGAATCAACATTAATTCTTCCTGCATGCGTGGTGGAATTCACCAGTGACATTATCCTGGCCTAGGCTTTTGGGGGAACTTTAAAACTTCCCCTAAAAGTTTTTAAATTCAATTTCCTTACTTACTTTAGGTTTACTTAGATTTTCGATTTCTTTTTAGTTTGTGTGGTTAGGGGGTTGATGTGATTTCTGTCAGTGTTGTTCACAGCAGTCCCTTATAATCATCTCTGTTTCATTCATAGTTTGGCTTCCTTTTCATTCCTGTTGTAATAACTGAGCCCTGGTTACTGTAGCCAAGGATTTGCTAACTTTGTTGACCCTTTCCAAGAACCAAGCTTTGATTTTGTTTTCCTACTTCATTATATCCTGCTCTAATCTTTATTATTTCTTTCCTTTACTTGTTTTAGATTTAATTTTTTTTAAAAGCTTAGGTTGTTTTTTTTTTGGGGGGGGGCCGGTCGTGGGGCCTGAACTCTGGGCCTGGGTGCTGTCTCTCAGCTCTTCAGCTCAAGGCTAGCTCTCTAGCCCTTGAGCCACAGCGCCACTTCTGGCTTTTTTCTTTTTGCTTATGTGGTGCTGAGGAATCGAACCCAGGGCCTCAAGCATGCAAGGCAAGCACTCTACCACTGAGCCACCTTCCCAGCCCCAAAGCTTAGGTTGTTGATCTGAGAGTTTTTCCTCTAAGTACTTAAACTAGAAGAAGTTTCCCTTTATGTTCTCTTCCTATATCCATCCATCTTCCTGTGTGTGATATTTATAGTCTCTATTGCTTAGTCTCACGTTTACCCTGGATTATATAGATGTCCATATAGATGTATATATGGGATCGTGTAGGGTTTGAACACAGGGCTTTACACTTGCAGGCCCTCTACTGCTTCAGCCATTTCTCCAGTCCTCTTCACTTTCTTATTTTTCCAATAATGTCTTGCTTTTTGCCTGAACTGCGGTCCTCCTATCGACACTTCCTGTGTAGCTGGGATGATTGACAAAAACCTCCATATCTGGCTTTTTTTTTTAATAAGAGGTTCCATGAACTTTCCCCCCAATCTGGCCTCTCCAATCTCAGCCACTTGTGTAGCCAAGATGATCGTCGTGAGTCACTGTGCCAAGCTATTTGCAGATATTTCTAGAACACCTCCTGGTTTCCAGAGAGCCAGCCTGGTTGCCAGGATGACCTGCTTGCGTGGGGCTGTGAGTCAGGGAAGAGACGCCAGAAGTGGAGCCATTGCAGTGGCCAGGCCTCGCCTGGGCAGGATGCTGGGCCGCTTTGCTTTTGTCTCTGTGGAGTTTGCAGATGCCATCTTGTCACCACTGTAGTGGCCCTGGGACAGGCTGTGGCCTTCTCAGGGACTCCTCCAGCGCCCTGTGGTGTTCTTATGTGGCACAGAAGGAGGTGGGGTATGAGCCCCCCGCACAGGGTGGAGGGAGGCAGGCCGTCCCGCCCCTCACTCTGGCCTTCTGGCTCCTGACGCCACCCCACCTGCTGTCCCCAGACACCTGTCGTTTACAGAGCCAGGGCCTGGCCCAACCCCACAAACCAACAAACATTGCAGCCAGGGCCCCTGGACTCTGGGCTAAAGATCCCGCCTTGCTTTCCTCCCCTGCCCCAGAGGGGAGAGAGCTCTGGTGAGTAGAAGCACGCAGGGCCTGGGGGCTCTCGTAACCCTGTTCCTGTTTCCTAGATCCTCAAGAAGGCCTGCAGAGTGTCAGCGCTGCTCTCATCCCCCTCCCAGGAATCCTTTGTTTTGCCTTCACTCATTCTAAAGGAAGCTCATGTTCTTAGTTCTTCATGTGTTAGTAGCTTTTATTTTTAGTACTTTCTCCTTCCCTTTCTTTTCCTTTCCTTTCCTTTCCTTTTCCTTCCTTCCTTTCTTCCTTCCTTCCCTCCCTCCCTCCCTCTCTCCCTCTTTCCCTCTCTCTCTCTCTTTCTTTCTTTCCTTTTTTTTTTCTTTCTTTTGCCTTGAACTCAGGGCTTGGTCACTGTCCCTGAGCTTCTTTTGCTCAAGGCTAGTGTTCTACTTCTTGAGCCACAGTGCCATGTCTCCCTTTTTCTGTTTATGTGGTATTGAGGAATCGAACCCAGGGTTTCATGCATGGTAGGCAAACACTCTACCAGTAAGCCACATTCCCAGCTCTTCTTTTTCTTTTCTTTTCTTTCTTTCTTTTTTTTTGTTGGTCGTAGGGCTTGAACTCAGAGCCTGGATGCTGTCCCTGAGCTCTTTTGCTCAAGGCTAGTGCTCTACTGCTTTGACCCACAGCACTACTTCTGGTTTTCTGGTGGTTATTTAGACATAAGAGTGTCTGGCTTTGCACCACAATCCTCAGATCTCAGCCTCCTGAGTAGCTAGGATTCCAGGCATGATTACACCAGCACCTGGCAATAGCTTTTATTTTTACATGGACTTTTTTCCAAAAGACATTTTTCCTGCCAGGTGCAGAGGCCTGTGTGGCGTCACGGGGAGCGCATGGGCTGGTGGGCTGTGGGGCCTCCAGAGGGCGGGAGGCTCTGTTCACTGGTCAGGTCAACAGCTCCCTCCGGACAGTAGCTTATACTGGACCTCCAAGGCTCCCATAGAAACTGGCCTTTCCCGCCTCAGGCTGTTTGCCCCCCCCTCCCAGCTTTGGTGGTCCCTTGGGCAGCTGAGCAGGTCTCTCCAGGGCCTCCCGTGGGCTCCCTGGCTCAGCTGAGTGGCCTTGGGCTCCCTGGCTCAGCTGAGTGGCCTGGGGCCCAGAAGGCGCCTGGCTGATCTTTGTTCCCATGGGGGGAGGCGCCTTCAAGCTGAGTCTGACCCTGAGCACAGGCGGCCCTTTCCCAGGCCTCAGCCCGTGCAGGGCCCTTGTCTCATTCAAAGTTTCACAAGAGATTCTGGGTTGAGGGGCTGGGAATGTGGCTTAGTGGTAGAGTGCTTGCCTAGCAAGCATGAAGTCCTGGGTTCCATTCCTCAGTACCACATACACAGAAAAAGCCAGAAGTGGTGCTGTGGCTCAAGTGGCAGAGTGCTAGCCTTAAGCAAAAGAAGCTCAGGGACAGTGCCCAGGCCCTGAGGTCAAGCCCCAGGACTGGCAAAGAGATTCTGGGTTGGGCCAGGGCTCCCCCCTGCTTGGCACAGTCAGAGCCTGATGAACCTTTTTTTTTTTTTTTTTTGTCGGTCGTGGGGCTTGAACTCTGAGCCTGGGCGCTGTCCCTCAGCTCTTCAGCTCAAGGCGAGCGCTCTACCACTTGAGCTACAGCGCCACTTCCGGTTTTCTGGTGGTTTATTGGAGATAGGAGTCTCAGGTCTCTCCTGCCCGGGCTGGCTTTGAACCGCGATCCTCAGATCTCAGCCTCCTGAGTAGCTAGGATTACAGGCGTGAGCCACCAGTGCCCGGCACCTTTTTTTTTTGTCTTTTGTGCTAGTCCTGGGGCTTGAACTCAGGGCTTGGGTGCTGTCCCTGAGCTCTTTTGCTCACAGCTAGCACTCTATCACTTGAGCCACAGTTCTACTTCTGGTTTTCTGGTGGTTAATTGGAAATAAGAGTCTTCCAGACTTTCCTGCTCGGGCTGGCTTTGAACCAGGATCCTGAGATCTCAGAGCTTTCTGAGTAGCTAGGATTACAGGCATGAGCCACCAGGCCTGGCCTGATGAACTTTGATGGCCTAGAGGGAGCACTGGAAGGTAATTTCTCTGGGTTCATAGCCTCGAGGCAGCCCCTGAGAAGTATGTGCTTCCTGCCTTCGCAGATGAGGACGTGGAAACCCAGACAGGGGACGTGACTTGCCCAGGAACACATAGCTGGTTGAAGTGAGCAAGGTCTCTAGTTCAAGTCCCCAAGGCTCCATGTCTGGTGTTGGGTCTAGTCCCCAGACTGCTTCCCAGATCCTCTGGGGCAGCCTTATCACCTTCCAGGTGAGGGGATGGCTGCTGAGGTGGGGGGCTGGGGAGAGCCCTGGCTGCCCGCAGTGGGGAGCCCCAGCAGGCCTTGTGAGCCCCGGCAGAGGGAGGTGGATGAGGATGGCCTGGCGGAGCCTAGAACTGGCTCCCTGGTTCCCCATCTCTCTACTCCAGATTTCTTTCTGGCTCAGGGTGTGCCACTACTGGGACTTTGCTGTCCCAGGCTGGCTTTGAACCACTTCACTCAGATCTCAGCCTCCTGAGTAGATGGTTGTCACTCCAGTCACCTCTCCCTCGGCCTCACTCCTCCCCTCGTTCTGTTGGCTCTCCAACACGCTGTGTGCCCCGCCATCTTCTGGACACTGGCAGTACTGCAGTGTGCCAGACAAAGCCTAACACAATAATCTCGGGAAACTCTTTTTGGGTGGGGCAGGGTAGGGTTAGGAGGTCGATGTGGAGGGGCATGTGTAAACAAGGAAGGGCACAAAGTCAGGAGGACTTAACTCTGTGAACGGACCCTTCTCAAGGGGGCAACTTTGGGGCTGAGACTTAACTAGGTGAAGAAATGGGGAGGGGGAGATTTTCTCAGCCATGGGAGCCATGTGTGCAAAGCCCTGGGGTTAGAGTGAGCGCTCAGGGTCTGGGCTCAAAGCTAGTGCTCTATCACTTTAGCCACAGTTGCACTGTTTTGTTTTTTTTGGTCGTGGGGCCTGGGCGCAGTCCCTCAGCTCTTCAGCTCAAGTCTAGCGCTCTACCATTTGAGCCACAGTGCCACTTCCCATTTTCTAGTGGTTATTGGAGATAAGAGTCTTAAGGACTTTCCTGCCCAGGCTGGCTTTGAACTGTGATCCTTAGATCTCAGCCTCCAGAGTATTTAGGATTATATCTGTGAGCCATTGGCGTGTGGCTTTTTTTTTTTTTTTTGTCAGTTGTGGACCTGAACTCTGGGCCTGGGCACTGTCCCTCAGCATTTCAGCTCAAGGCTAGTGCTCTACCATTTGAGCCACAGGGCTACTCTTGGCTTTTTCTGTGTATGTGGTGCTGAGGAATTGAACCCAGGGCTTCATGCATGCAAGGCAAGCACTCTACCACTGAGCCACCTTCCCAGCTCCCCCTTTTTTTTGATAATTAATTAGATATGAGTCTCGTGAAGGGCTGGGAAGGCTTGCTGTCCATTGTCACTTTTAGCACCTTTATCCCCAGTGTTAGATAATTTCAGCCCATTGTGTATTCACTCAACAAGACATATGCTTGGTACTAGAGACACATACATAGCCAGTGATGTCCCCCGATTTCTGCTGATGGGGCATTTCTTCTCTGCCTAGCCCTGTTCCAAGCAAGAGCTCTATGGATGCCGGCGGAGTGGTCCCTTTACAGACGGAGAGACTGAGGCTTTGAGAGACGTCTCTACTGGACTGGACCTCAGTTTCCCCATCCTCTGAGTAGGTGGGGTACCCTCTGGCCCTGGCCAGCGCCATGGGCAGCAACAAGAGCAAGCCGAAGGAGGGGGGCCAGCGGCGCCGCAGCCTGGAGCCCACCGAGGCCCCAGGTGCCTTCCCGGCCTCGCAGACGCCCAGCAAGCCGGCCTCTGCCGATGGCCTCCGAGGCCCGGCCTCCGCCTTTGCGCCCACTGCTGCCACCGCTGAGCCCAAGCTGTTTGGGGGCTTCAACTCCTCGGACACCGTCACCTCCCCACAGAGGGCAGGGCCGCTGGCCGGTCAGTGTCCGCCTGTGCGTGGGCAGGGTGGATGGAGGGGGGCGTTCAGCCACGGGGGACCCGGTCCGGGGCTCCCGCCTGGGAGGCGTAGTTGTGGCCTGGGACCCGAGCAGCGCCAGTGGCACCCCTGTGCCCTGGGCTGGCACCGTGGGGTGCTGTGGCCCTGGTCGGGTGCTGGAGATCAGCTCTGATGCCCAGAGTCCCATGGGCACCTGCGAAGCCTCTGCCATACCTGGTTTCCCACTAGGGACATGTGTACAAACACGCCCCATGCCCTGTGTGCAGATACACCTGCAGTGAGACCCCTGAACTGTGCACAGGACACACAGCTCACTGACAGACAGACAGATGGCTGCATGCCCTTGGCCAGCCCTGGACCCTGTGGACACCTGGGTGACACAGACCCACAGATGTGTCCACATGCCCACAGAAGCACATGCATGCACACATATGCGTGCATGCACACACACATGCATTTGGACAAGGAAGACGTGTGCGGCCCCGAGCATGCCCAGACCCCTGCACCTGAGGGAGACGGGACTGTATCCCAGGGCTGCTGGGAGGTGCCAGGGGTGCCAGGCTGGGGTGCTGGGTACTTGTCAGCAACAGGAGGCCAGTCTTCAGGAGTCCCCTGGGAGTGAAGCCAGGCCGACCCCGCACCTACTCACCTGAGCCCCGCAGGGTTCTCACATGGCCCCACACGTGCCCACACCCGCTGTTCCTGCCAGTGTCCAGGCTGGGCACTGATGGGGCGAGGGGGGGCAGCGGTAGTCCCTAGTGCCCCCTCACATCCCTGCTCTCCCTGCAGGTGGAGTGACCACCTTTGTGGCTCTCTATGACTATGAGTCACGAACAGAGACTGACCTGTCCTTCAAGAAAGGGGAGCGGCTCCAGATCGTCAACAATACGTGAGTCCCTCTCTGCCCCCCTAGCCCCCGCCCCTCCATGCCACACAGGACCCTGTGGGGGACTTCCCGGTGGGAAGTGGTCTCCGGCCTGCTGCTCCTCAGAGCTGCCAGCAGAGGGCAGTGCAGAGCCCACACCGCCTCCCTGGCCCTGGCCTGCACCGTGGACCTCCCCAACCTTGGGGTCCCCTCCACCCCGAGCGCTGGCTTGCTCTCTACAGCCCTTTCAGCCTCTCCTTCTCTCTGCTTCTCTCTCGCTGGCCCTCAGGAGGAAGGTGGACGTCAGGTGTGTAACCCCGCTTCAAGGGGGCCGGCTGGGGATGCTTGGCTGGGGCTTGGGGACTGCTGTCTGCACGCGCCTCTGCCTGTGCTCCCGCCTGTGCTCTCTGGCGCCCTCTGCTGTTGCTGTCCCTACCCCACACTTCCCTGGCTTCTACCTCTCCTCCCCTCTCCTGCTGGTTTGACCAGGTCCCTGCCTGACTGGGAGGGTTCCCCATTGCCTCCCACCTCCTCCTGCCCCTCCCTCTGATCTGTCAGCACCCACTGAGCACCAGCTGCATGCAGGGACCATGCCGGGTGCAGAAGGCTCTGGCTGTGGCGAGAAGCCTCCTCCACGGCAGGCGTAAGCAGAGGGTGGCTGTGGTCTGGCCCAGGGTCTCTACTGTGTGCCCCTCTCTGGTGGTGAGCACAGGCCAGGGAGGGCAGACAGGGCCTCCAGGGAAGGCAGGGTGGAGGTAGAGGAGGTGAGCCGCCCTTGGCCGGGGTAACCGGTAGAGACACAAGTGCCGTCAGGGTGCAGAGGGCCGGAAGCAGCTGGAAGTGGAGTGGCAAAAGGCCCGCCCCACATGGAGTCTCGCCGTTAGGTCCTGCCTCCCTTCCGGAACCCCCGCATGCTGCTCCCTCTGCCTGCGCTGATGCTTCTCCCTTCTGCCTGATGAACTCCTATTCATCCCGCAAGATCCAGCAAAGGACTGCCTTCTCTGCCAGGCAAAAGGGATGTGAGGTGCCCGGCGCCTCCTAGTTGCGCTTTTCAGTGACACTACTTGGCAGTAGTGATGGGGCAGGACTGTCTCTTTTATACAAATGAGGAAACTGAGGCTCAGAGTCGTGAAGGCCTTGTCCAGGGTCACATAGCTGCCCAGAACTTGGGCAGTGGTTCTCCCTCCCCCGCTGCTCCCCTCAGGGGGGTCCCCAGCCCCCTGTGGTTCTCCCTCCCCCCTGCTCCCCTCAGGGGGGTCCCCAGCCCCCTTCCCCACTCTGATGTGTCGTCTGCGTGTGTCTGTTCTCTTGTCACCAGCCGTTTGCATCTGTGTTGCTTCAGCGAGCAGCTCTGCTCTCTGGCCGCCTCGTTGGCTCACCTTGTGTTTCTGGGTGTGAGTCACAGGTCACACGATTTCAGCTGCCTGTCACCACAGCCCTGAGAAGCGGGGCTTTTATTTGCTGCATTTCACAGATGAGGAAACTGAGGCCTGAGAGGTGAAATGACTTACCCGAGGTCACACAGCTGGTAGCCGCAGAGCTGGGCAGAGGCGTGCTCTCCAGCCCATGGGCCTTGGCAGGGGGTGTGTGTGTGGGGAATCCTTTCCCTTTCGGGGTGGTTCTGGGAGCTGGGTGTGATGGGGTCTCATTGATGGGGCCCCTGGAAGCCGTGACTCCTGTCTCAGTGCTCACCCACTGCTTGGCCAGCAGCTAGGAGGAGCAAGTCGTGGCAATGTCTGGAGAGGAGAGGTTTGGGGGTGGGACTAGTGAAGATGGACACCCAAATCAGAGGGGCTCAGATACCCCCTCCTGCTAGGATCTCTGTGTGCCCTGCTGGGGTGCCCCGCCGGGCCCATGGCTGCCAAGCCTCCACCTGCCCCAGCCACACCTTCTGAATGAGTCTGGGGTGGGGCTGGGGTGGATTGGGCTGGTGTCTCGCAGCCTGGAGACCGTGCTGCTTGGATCTCGGTGCCATGGGGCCCTGGGTCCGAGGAGGCCCCACTGTCCCAAGCCGCTGACCTCGGAACTGGCTCGGCTTGGCTCCCACCCAGACTCCAGCCGTCTCTTTGGGGAACCCTCTGAGTCCTGGCCCAGGCACGCTGGGAGCCGGGAGCCTCCAGGCAGCTGCTTCCTTGTGACTTGAGTCTGTTTTGTAGTTTTGGGCAAGTCCTTGCCTCTCTCCATGCCTCAGTTTCCCCAACTACACAAAGAAAGTGCTGGTCTGTTCTAGTCTGGGTGTCCTCAGTGGATCTTTCTACGTCTCTAAGCGGTCCCCCATGGGGGCTGAGGCCTGGCCTTCCTCCAGGAGTCCAATGGGGTGGAAAGGTGTGGCTTTCCCCAATGGCACCACAAAGGGAGGCCGGTGGAGGTTGGGGTGTGGAGGCTGGCCTCGCTCCTGAGATGGACTCTGCTCCCCTCGCCTGGAGCTCCCATGTGTGTCTGACCCATGTGGCCCAGTGATACCCCCCTTTTATCTCATTCCATCTTGAGAGCATCTGGCCCTTCTGGCCTTCCTTACTCTCGCCAACCCCAGGAAACCACACCACAGCCGCAAGGAGCTGCCTTCCTCCTCAGCCTCCTTCCTGAGCCTCCTTCAGGGCTGTGTGACCTTGAGCAGAGCCCTTGGCTTCTCTGGCCTCAGTCTTCCCATCTGTACTAGGGTTGTAGAAGGGGCTGGACCCTGGGCCCCCCTTCCCTCCCCTCCCTTCCCTGTGCCCTCCTGTGCCCCACGGTTGCTTTGGATGCGAGGCGGCTGGGTGCCCCTGGCTCTTGCTCCCCCCCTCCTACTCCTGCCTCTCACTGCCCCCCTCTCTGCCTCTTCTCTCCCTGGGCCTCTCGCTTGCTCCTCCCTCCTCTGTCTCTGGACCCCCGCTCCAGCCAGACCTGGTTCACATTCAGATGGCTGCAAAGGTACTTCCGCCCCTCCCCTCCCTTCCCTCCCTCCCTCTGTCCCTCCTTCTGCCCTCCCAGGCCCAGGGACCTAGACTGTGCACTGGGAGTCCCCCCCCCCCACCTCTGCTCTTCCCCTTTGCCCCTCCGCAAGGGGCAGTTAATGGGCTCCGCCTCTTCACCCCCCCCCATGTGAACTGCTGTGTGACTTTGGGCAAGTCCCAGCCCCTTCTGGCCTCAGTTTCCCCCGGGTTTGGGGGTAGGCTGCAGGAAGAGGACCTTTAGGACCTTGCTCTGTGTGTAGGGCTGGGCCTGGCCTGTTACCAGAACCCGCGAGGGCCATCCTCATCCCCACTTGGGTCTCGTGGCCCCCAAGCTAAGGCTTTGGGGTCTGGGGCTTGGGGGGCTTTGAAGGTCTCCTTGGACATCATCTTGGTAGGGATTTTCCGTCTGTGACTGCCTTGCTTGCCTGTCGAGATGGGGAGCTTCCCCCCTCGTAGGCAGCCCTCAGCATCTGGGGGTGCTTCTGGACCCTCCGCTGGCAGAGCGTACTCCATCCTGGACTGGGAGGGGAGCTGGCCGGACCCGGTCCACCTGCTGTGCTGGCCGCCAGGGCCTCTCTGGGCTTCCCTGGGCTGTGGACTCAGTGCAGCACCAGGGAAGATCCGTGAGCCCTTAGGCTTGCTTGGTGACAGTCTCTCCCCCCCGCCCAACTTGTTTTTTTCTTTTGGCTTCTTTCTGGCCCTGTACAGAGAGGGAGACTGGTGGCTGGCCCACTCGCTCAGCACAGGACAGACCGGCTACATCCCCAGCAACTATGTGGCGCCCTCAGACTCCATCCAAGCTGAAGAGTGAGTGCTCTTCCTGGCCACTGCTGCTGCTGGCTCAGTGTCCCTCCTGGGCTGGAGTGGGAGGTTTGGCCTCCCAGAGGCCCAGCCTCATCCCAGAAGCTTGGCCCCAGTACCACCCCGTCTCTTCCACCCCAGGTGGTACTTCGGCAAGATTACCAGACGGGAGTCAGAGCGGTTACTGCTGAACACAGAGAACCCAAGAGGGACCTTCCTGGTGAGAGAAAGTGAGACCACGAAAGGTATGAGCACTTACGTGGGCCAGGCAAAGCTGAGTTGGGCAGGTTGCTGGCACTGGGTATTGCAGAGTGAATAGGAGTTTGGTATGTAGCGTAGGAAGAGCCCTCTAGGTGGAGGGAGCAGCAGGATCAGTCGGGGAGGGGATGGGGGTGGCTGGGAATGGTGAGAGGTGAGGGAAGGGTGGGGTGTGGCCTCCCGGGCCTCAGGAGCTCCCATGGGGAAGGGGCACAAGTTGTCACACAGCAAGATCTGTTCCCAGACTGGCGCCGCAGCCATGAGCCCCTTCCCCTTCCCTACTCCAGGGGCCTCTGCGGCTGGCTGCGCAGGGGTGGGCCTGACCTTGTCCTTCCGCCATAGTCTGGCCCTCTGGTCACACCATCCCCCCCATCACCATGGCAACTGAGCTGGGCTGCTTCCTGTGGGCCTGGGGCTCAGCAGGAGATGGAAAAGCGGAGCCTTTCCCCCTCCATCCGCCCCCTCCCCCTCCCCGGCCTCGTGGGGGGTCGGGGACTGTGTGAGGAAATGGAGCTTGGTGGTAGGGGGTCTGGGGAGGTGTGCCCGAGTAAGCGTGCATGGGTGTGCGCATGTGTGCACACGGGGTCAGGGCTGCTTGGGCTTCAGGCGTGTGGCTTCTGGGCCACACATGACCTGCGCCATCTGCAGAAAACCCGGGCTTTCCAGGGTGCACCTGAGCTACTTGGGGGGTGTCCCCATGCTGCTTGACCTGCTGGGTGACCCAAGGCCTTCTGGGGGGGGGGCTTGGCTTCCCCATCTGTACGTTGTCAGCCACCACCTCCAGCTCAGGAGGCCAGCAGGAGTTCCAGAGGCCTTCCAGGCCTGAGACTTCCCACTTCTCTGGCACCCCTGGGACTCAGCCTCGCTCTCTGATACCTCCCTGGCTGTCCCCAGGGACTGATTCACCCACCGAGGCTCCCAGCCAGGCCTAGCACTGCCAGCAGGATGAAGCTTTGGCTAGAAACTTTCCCCCAGCCTCAGGGAGGAAGGAGAGGCCACACACAGCTGTGTGGTCTCCTGCCAGACTTCCACAGCCTCAGCGCGCCCAGTCTTCTGGCCGGGCTGGAAGGGGCTGGCGGGGACATAGACTGTGGTCAGCCCTGGAGAGGGGACAGCGGGGACATAGGCTGTGGTCAGCCCTGGAGAGGGGACAGTGAGGCTGTGCGCTGCCCTGTTAGCTGGGATCTCATGGAGATCTCTGTGCTGGAGAATCTCCACCCTGTGGAGGGAGAGACGGGCCCAGACAGAGCAAGCAACTTGTCACAGTCACACAATAGAGATGCGCATGCACGGCCAGGCTTCCCAGACCTTCTAAGGGTCATGAGTTTGTGGTGGGCCGAGCACCCGTGGTTCAAGTCTATTATCCTGGTTCCTCAGGAGGCTGAGACCTGAGGATCACAGTTCAGAGCCAGCGGGGGCAGGAGAGTCCACAAGACTCTTATCTCCAATTAGCCACCAAAAAAAAAAAGAGAGAGAGAGAGAGAGAGCTAGAAGTGGCGCTGTGGCTCAAAGTGGTAGAGCGCTAGCCTTGAGCAAAAAAGCTAAGGGACAGTGCCCGGGTCCTGAGTTCAAATCCTGTACCAGCACAGAAAAAAAGCAAAAGCAAAAGAAGATAAGTTTGTGGTGGGACTGTGCAGAGAGAGCTAACAAACGGAACTAATAGGAACGGATTGGTGGGACTAAGGCTGGTCACCCCGGGCAGCCCCGAGTGATGGGCCCCGTCCCGTCTCCTGGCCCCTCCCCGCAGGTGCCTACTGCCTCTCGGTGTCTGACTTCGACAACGCCAAGGGCCTCAATGTGAAGCATTACAAGATCCGCAAGCTGGACAGCGGTGGCTTCTACATCACCTCCCGCACCCAGTTCAACAGCCTGCAGCAGCTGGTGGCCTACTACTCCAGTGAGCCGGGCTGGGGGTGGGCGCTGGGGGTGGGCGCTCCCCTGCCTGCCCGCGTCCTCTTCCTCCCCTTCCCCCCTTTCCTCCTCTACCCCTCCCTCTCCCCCATGGCCTCCCTCCCCCCACCTCCTTCCCCTCCCTTTCCCCCCTGCCTGGTGAGGAGGGGGCTTCCTGCAAGAGCTGGAAGGGAGGGAAGCTGGCTCCTTCCCATTGTTTCTGCATGCTAAGACCGGTCTGAACTGGTTACTGGGAGAGGAGGAGGGGGCTGCGGGCTGCAGCCGGGAGGGAGAAAGGAGAGGAGAGGAGAGAAAGAGGGGTGAGTGCAGTAGGGAGCCGTGAGCTCTGGGTGCTGTGGGTGGGGTGTGGGCACGGGTGAGCCATGTCCGCGGTCACCTTCTGTGTGTCCGGGGCCTGCAGGGGCCCGCCTCAAACGCACCCCTCAACCATCCCTAGTGCCTAGGCCCCGGATCATGTCTTCAAGGGCTGCCTTGAGTCAAGATGAAGACCCCAGCCCCCCCCTCCTTCCCTTCCCCTTCTCTCCCCTTCTTTGCGGCTCTCCCAGCAGCTGCACCTTCCAGCAGCTTCTCCAGACAGCCGCCCATGTTAGCTGTAGCCTTTAGGCTATGTACTCTGCCAGGGGTACCCTCCTAGTGACCCCCTCTGCAGACCCAGTCGCTGCTCCTTCTGGGAAGCCTTCCAGGCCTCCACACCTCCCTCCTCCCCGGCCTCAGCACACGCAGCTCCCCACACATGGCTGTGAATGTTTAGGGCCCACATCATTCCCTACTGTGTCCCTGGCATGCTAGAACTCTGAATGAATGAACGAAGCAAGTCACAGTTGACCAGCTTCGGGGTGGGGTGGTGGTGTGTGCAGTTGTTGATATTTTTCAGTGGGGATACCCTATGGGTCCCTGGAGCCTTGGGGCCTACACACACTGGGGGGAGGCGGGGACCCCCTGAGGGGACTCCTGTCTGAACTCCTCTTGCTTCCTTGTTGCCAGAGCATGCCGACGGCCTGTGCCACCGGCTCACCACCGTGTGCCCCACATCCAAGCCGCAGACCCAGGGCCTGGCCAAGGATGCCTGGGAGATCCCCCGAGAGTCCCTGCGGCTGGAGGTCAAGCTGGGCCAGGGCTGCTTCGGGGAGGTGTGGATGGGTAAGCAACCAGGCCCTGCCTTCCTTGGCAGCCCAGGGCTCCTGTGCTCACGTGCTCATTTTAATTCACGGATGTTGATTGTTCAGAGCCGCCGGTGTCCCCCTGGCATTGTCACACATGCTTGTAATGCCCTTGGGTCACATTCACCCCCTCTGACCCTCCCAGGGGGGGCTGCTCTTTCCCTGGGGTACAGCCCCCCCAAGTGCTCAACTGAGCTCCTTTGACTCCTGGGAGCCTGAGCACCAGTCCACCAGCAGCTGCTCAGTGCAGGCTTTAATCTCTCCGACTGCAACCTGGGCAGGCAGAACTGGCCAGTGCCAGTGCCAGGGGAGGGGGGGGTCCTGGGCAACTTCCTGTCTGGAGGCCTGGGGAAGTGGTCCTTGACAATGAGCTTCGTGTAGCCCAACACATCCCAGGCCCCTCCACGGCCAGCTGCCTCCAGAGTGGCAGATGGGGTTAGAGGTCGCCTCAGTATCCCCTAGCTATTCCTTCTCTGTCACCTCCCTGCTGTCCAGAGAGGGGCTGCAGAATGGCGGGGGGGAAGGTAGGGCTGGGAGGATCATGGGGACAAAGCCTGGAGGCTGAAGGCCAAGCCTGAAGAAGGGGAGAGGGCGAGGCTGGCCAGGGGCAGCCTCAGCTCAGCTTTGGATCCAGGGCCGGCCACCTGGTCCTCGGGTCCATTTTGCAGATGGGCATGTGGAGGTTGGGAAGGAGCACCAGCCTTGGCTGGGCCTGCTCTGCCAGTGGCGCGGGGAGCTGGGCACTCCGGCATGGCAGGTCCTGGGCTCCGTGCGGCCTCTGGTGAGGTAGCTGGTATTCCTCCCCTACACAGGGACCTGGAATGGCACCACCAGGGTAGCCATCAAAACCCTCAAGCCGGGCACCATGTCTCCAGAGGCCTTCCTGCAGGAGGCGCAAGTCATGAAGAAACTGAGGCACGAGAAGTTGGTGCAGCTGTATGCCGTGGTGTCAGAGGAACCCATCTACATTGTCACGGAGTACATGAGCAAGGGTGAGGCCTGGCGCCATCGGGACTCAAGCAGGGGAGGCTGAGGGCCAGCTCTGGGCCCCTCCTGGAACCCAGGCCAGCCGGTATGGCCATGGATGTGACGCTGGGACCATCCCCCGGGGATTGCCTTCCCCTTTCCGCTTGCGCCATTGATTTTCCCCTAAGCCCCTTCTGGCTTGACCTTGACTTACTTTTTGTGTGTTTCTTTGAGGCAGGGTCTCAGCATGTCATCCAGGCTGCTCTCAAACATCCTGGGGCTCAGGTTATTCCCAAATTCGAGATCCTCCCGCCTCAGCCTCCTGAGTGCTTAATTTTTAAATTAATTACTTTTCAAAATAAGAAATGTAGGGGCTGGGAAGGTGGCTCGAGTGCTTGCCTTGCATGCATGAGGCCCTGGGTTCGATTCCTCAGCATCACATAAGCAGAAAAAGCCGGAAGGGGCGCTGTGGCTCGAGTGGTAGAGCGCTAGCCTTGAGCTGAAGAGCTGAGGGACAGCGCCCAGGCCCAGAGTTCAGGCCCCACAACCGACCAAAAAAAGAAAAAGAAAAAAGACAAAAAAATGTACTCGTTACCCAACTTAGGAAACTGTGACCCCTCTATATATCACCTTAATAATACAAATAAAAGCCAGGTGCCAGTGACCCACACCTGTAATTCTACCTACTCAGGAGGCTGAGATCTGAGGATCATGGTTTGACACCAGCTCAGGCAGAAAAGTCATGAGATCTTTATTTCCAGTTAACCACCAGAAAACCAGAAGTAGCACTGTGGCTCAAAATGGTAGAACACTAGCCTTGAATGAAAAAACTTGGGGACAGCGCCCAGGCCCCAAGTTCCAGCCCCATGACCAAAAAACAAACAACAACAACAACAAAACCCCAAAATACCATTTAATTAAAAATGCTTCTATCCCCATTTTTTTTGTGGCTTTACTGGGGCTGGAACTGAAGGCTAAAAGTGCTCTATCACTTGAGCCACACTCCCAGTCTCTTTGCCTCTTAGTTTTTCAGATAGGTCTGAAAAACCGATTTTACTGGGGCCTAGCCTCTAATTCTAAACCTCCTACCTCTGCTTCTTGAGTAGCTGGGATTGCAGGTATGTGTCACTCTGCCTGATCCAATATACACCTACTGAATTGTCCAGTCGAGGGAGTTTTAGGCAGTTTCTGTGTGTCACCACCTCTAGGGTGTCTGTCCTGTGACACAGTTGATAGGTTTCTCTGGAAATTCCCTGTACATGATCTTTGTTTAGCTATGTGTGTCAGTTTGCCTTATGTTGCTGAAGTGGGTTTGGTGGGGTTCAGGCCCTGAGGCTGGCCTGGTCCTCTTGAGGCCCTGCGGGGGTGAGGTGGGGGGGGCGCCTCCCACTTGCCTTTATGAATGCAGAGCGAGGCTTGGTTCTGAGGCGGGCTTGGTGGAGCAAGCCCTTTCTGCTTCCCAAGCCGGGGGGTGCGGGCCGAGACTGGAGCTGGGTCTCTCTTTGCCCAGGGAGTTTGCTGGACTTCCTCAAGGGGGAAACGGGCAAGTACCTGCGGCTTCCTCAGTTGGTGGACATGGCTGCTCAGGTGAGCCTCCCTTCCCACCTCCTCACCTGCCGGGTTCCAGCCTCTGGAGCCTGCCTGAATTGCTCTGCATGGATTATCAAACCAGTTAGAGGGTCTGTGGGAGATGGACAGAGGCGCCAGGACTCACTGAGTGGCTCTGGGAGACTGCAGGCTTTATTTATTTTCCCCTCTGCAAAGGTCATTTAGTCACTCCACAATCTTGTGTTATGGCCTGCTGCAGGCAGTGCCAAGATGGTTTTCTCCCCCTTTGCTCTTGAGTGGCCACAGGGCGTGGACTGCGGGCAGGGCGCGCTGCACCTGCGCGCTGCCGCCCAGCTGGGCCTGGGCCCGTGCTGCCCGCCTCCCTGGCTGCTCCCCCCTCGTCCTCTCCCTCTCCCTGCGCCCCGCATCTCCTCCCTCTGCACTCCAGCCGTGGGTTGTGCATTGGTGGTGTTTGGGTTGAGCTGAGGTGTGGCAAGGGCGGGGTGTGTGGCTACATCTTCACCCGGGGACACATAGCTGTGGCCCCTGAGCTGGCACCCTGGGGGGGGTCTCCCTGCAGATCGCCTCGGGCATGGCATACGTGGAGCGGATGAACTACGTCCACCGGGACCTCCGCGCGGCCAACATCCTCGTCGGGGAGAACTTGGTGTGCAAGGTGGCGGACTTTGGGCTGGCCCGCCTCATTGAGGACAACGAATACACGGCCCGGCAAGGTGGGGACAGGGTCTGGGGCGGTCGGCGGCTGGGGTGGGCACCACTGCTGGGTCTCCCCATCTGCCCGATGGCAGGCAGAGCACCGTGACAGCTGACAGCCGCCCCGGCCTTCCCCGTGCCCGCAGGTGCCAAGTTCCCCATCAAGTGGACAGCGCCCGAAGCAGCCCTCTACGGCCGCTTCACCATCAAGTCGGACGTGTGGTCCTTCGGGATCCTCCTGACGGAGCTCACCACCAAGGGACGGGTGCCCTACCCTGGTGAGGAAGCTCCTTGAGGCCCTGTGCGGAGCCTCAGTTTCCCTATCTGGGCGCCCCCTCTGGTCCGGGGAGGACGTAGGGCGGCTCTACTTCTCGGCACGGCGCCCTTTCGTCCCCCTCTGCCCCTCCCCGTCTCCTCTGCGGCCAGCTCCTCATGCCCCCTTCTGTCCTCAGGGATGGTGAACCGGGAGGTGCTGGACCAGGTGGAGAGGGGCTACCGCATGCCCTGCCCGCCCGAGTGCCCCGAGTCCCTGCACGACCTCATGTGCCAGTGCTGGCGGAAGGAGCCGGAGGAGCGGCCCACCTTCGAGTACCTGCAGGCTTTCCTGGAGGACTACTTCACGTCCACCGAGCCGCAGTACCAGCCCGGGGAGAACCTATAGGCAAAGGCGCCCCCATGACTGCGCTTGGCCTCCCTCGGCTTGGCTGGTCTGGGCTCCCGGTGGGTCTCGGAGGTGGGGCCTGGCCGCCCTCTGCCCGCCCACCGTTGGCCCTTCCCCGGAGGGCTGAATTCATCACCAAGGCCAAGGCCTCTGCCGTGGGGGACAGGGAAGAGCTTCTGGACCTGGGGCGGCCCAAGAAGACGGACCGAGGCCAGCACCATGACCACCATCTCAGCGTCTGCTCCGGCCACACACCTGCTCCCTGCCATCCCTCCGAGTCCGTCCCTCTCTGGAGGAGGAACTGGGAAGAAGGGCTGGGCCGGGATGTCCTTTTCCAGATGGACCCCTAGCGCCCGCCTGCTCCTTCCCCACTCCCGCCACCCCAGGGCTGTCTCGAGAACTGGCCTTTCCAAAGAGGAGCAATGGCCCCAGGCCCTCAGTCAGCTCGCCAGCAGCCTCCCGCCTTCCAGGGCTGAGATGTCTGTGAGTGGAGCTCCTGGGTCTAGCACCTTCTCCTAGGCTGGGCAGCCCATGGCCCAGTGGGATTTGGTGATGGGGGATGGGATGAGCACTGCCCCCAAATCCTACCTGTCACCCCAGGGACCTTTGGAAATGGTCAGTTCCTCGCCCCCATTTTGCCCATAGGGAAACTGGGTGTAGAGGAGGTATGAGACTTGCCCGGGGCACAGAAGAGTTAGGATCGTGGGACCGGCGGCCAGCGCTCCCTCTGTCGTCCTCAGGAATTGTTCTCAGAGGCATTGTGGACGGATGGACGGGGACAGCCAAGGGGACAGGGTCTAGAGATGGATTGGGTAGCAGAGTCCTATTATAGTTGCCGTTTTGCGAGTCTGTCTGTCCATTGTTGGGAAGAAAATGGAGGCAGGTGTGAGGCTGAGCCAGGAGTAGAGGAAGGAGATGGTGGTTCAAGGAAGCAGCTTCAGTCAGAATGTGGCCAGGGTTTGATCTTTGGAACCAGCTGGACACACAGGGGAGGGAGCTCCCAGGCTCTGGAAGCAATCAAGTGGAGGCAGAAGAACATGGAGGCTGGGAGGCCCTGTCCCTGGCCTCTGCAGGGAACCCCAGGTCCTCCTTTTCTATTGGTCCTGAGCATTTCTCCTCTGGGCTCCTGCGCTCCTCCCCAGGCTGGCATTTATAACTCATAGCTGTGGAGAGGAGTGTCTTGGCTGTGTGACCCTGGGCAGCTCTGCTCCCTCTCTGAGCTGCCAGGTCTGCAGGCCTGTGTGTGGCCCTGGCCTCTGTACCAGCTCAGTTCCTGTCCAGACCCAGCGGCTGGGCAATCGCGTGGAGCCCAGCCCCGGGGACAGCAGGTGACTGTTTGGATCCTTGTGTTGCTGTCTAGCCTTAGGGGTATGGTGTGGCGCTCTTTCTCCTGGGCCTGTCTGTCTCTGTACACAATGGGCAGCTGCCCATGGTGACCCCTGCCAAGGGCCCCTGTGGTGTCTGTGTGTGTGCATCTGTGTGTCTCCATGTGCGTCCGTATTTAACATGTACAAAACGCCCCTTCTCTGTCCCTAGTGGTGCCCATTTCACCCACTGTCCTGTCACAGCAATAACATTCCTTCTGTGGGGCTTCTCAGCCCGCCGGGCCCCCATGGTGACGTCCGAAGGCCGTGTGCCAGGCCACGGGGCTGGCTGATGAAATGCCACCTTTTCCTCCCATTCCTGTCTCCTCCTCCCATCTGCCCATCACCTCTGAGCTCGGTCACCCGCGTGTCCCCCGCCCCGCCCAGCTGCCCAGGGCCCTTTGTATGAGGTGTCCTAATCCTGTCTTCTTTTTTTTAAACAGTGTTTTGTAGATTTCAGATGACTATGCAGAGGCCCCAGGGACCCCTGCCCCTCCCCCAGCTCTGGGCGGGCTTAGCGATGCCGCATTCCAAGGCCCAGGCTTGGGGAAAAGGGGGGGCCGTGTCCAGAATTGGTTGTAAATACTTTGCATATTGTCTGATTAAACACAAACAGACCTCAAGAGTTTGACTGGTGATTTATTGAGCATGTGTGTGTGTGTGTGTGTGTGTGTGTGTGTGTGTGTGTGTGTGGTTAGGGGAGTTAGAAGCCAGATGTGAGAATGGTCTGTGGTCGGGAGCCTTGGGCTGGGCTGCCCTGGTAGCTGGCAGGGTTGGGGTGGGGGCTGACAGGGCTCTGATTAGAGATAGCCGTGGCAGGCTGTGGCCGTGTGTGCACATCTGCCGCTGTGTTGGGGGATCACATCTGGGGAGAAGCACCAGACCATGCCTGGGGTCCCCCAAAGCTTGGGAAGCTCAGGATTCAAATGGTCACCTACAGAGGCTGCCAGACCTGTGTGGCCATGGAAGATCTGTGGGAGGCGCCGGGCGGTGTGTATAAACCTGTGTTTCCAGGTTTATAAAGCTGCCGGGGCACAGGAGAGAGCCAGGAGGAAAGCCCACGGCCTCACCCTCCATTTCCCCCACGGAAGGGCACAGCCGGGATAGGGGGCTGACATTATCCATGCGAATGCCCACCCACGTGAGACCCCACCGCACAGAAGATCGGAGGCAGACACTGGGTGCTCCAGCCCCCCTCCTTCCCAGCCCTCGCGGCCCGGCGCTGGGCCCGGAGCTGCGTGCACATGTGGCTGTGGTAGGTTTGCTCTGGCTCCTCGTGCACAATGCATCTATTTCCCCATCACACATCCAGGGGGCGTGAGTGCCCCTTGGGCCTTGTGAGCTCAGCTCATCCCCTGCAGCCAGCCGCTCCCAGCTGGGCCCTCCTGTGTCCAGGATGACGACATTACAGGCAAGAGCCGGCAGTTCAGCTGGCTGGTGGGGCCAGCCCCACGCCCCGGCCCTGCAGGCTGGGAGAGGCTTCTCAGTGACCTGCGTGTGCTGAGGTGCAGGGCTGGGTGTGTCGTGTGTGCCCCGTGTGGCGTGTGTGCCCTCTGCCTCCCTGCATACCGACTGCTCCCACCTGCACTGGATGTGTGCACACACCTGTACATACATGCACAAGACGTGCACACAAATGCATGCACTCATAAATGCACATGCACACACATGTACCTGGTCTACATTTTCTTTCATTTTGTCTCCCCCCACCTTTATTTCTCTCATGGGTTCAGAAAAGCTGTTCTTTGCTGAAAGAAAAAGGGACAGACAGATGGACGGGCAACAAAAATCAGAGACAGCAGGATGGACTAGGAAAGGCACTGTGGTGATGGTGGCTGGGTGAGCATGTGTGTGTGTGTGTGTGTGTGTGTGTGCGCACACACACGCCCCTTCCTCTGCCCTGTCTTTCAGATGTTCTGGCTCTGTGCTGCATTTATACACAGTGTGTACACGTGCAAGCCAGGGTTTACGCTCCCATTACCGGTCCCACTTCCAGTGCCCTCCTCCAGGCCTCCATCTTGATTATTCCAGATGTGCTGGCTCCAGACTCTGCTCCTTCCAGGTCTCTCCCTCCCACCCTCCTGGCTCGCTCTCTTCCCTCCTCCTTTTCCTTCCCTTCCCTTCCTTCGTTCCTTTGTTCCTTCCCTCCTTCCTTCCTTCCTTCCTTTTCTTTCATCTATCTATCTATCTATCTATCTATCTATCTATCTATCTATCTATCTATCTATCTATCTATCTATCTATCTATCTAAATATCTATCATCTATCTTTTGTTTTCCTTCCTTCCTTCCTTTTCTCTCCCTCCCTTGCTTGATCTCTTTGTTCTTGGATTAAGTCTTGCTTGATAACCTCACTGGCCTGGAGCTTGCCCTCCTCCTGTCTAGCCTTCAGGATGCTGGGGTCTCAGGCACCCACTGTCACACCCAGCCCACCTTCTGCTTTTTCATCCCTCATTAAGCTTCCCATGGCGTGGGTAGACAGGCATTCCTGCTCTCATTCACTCACTAGATCATTCATTCACTGGCAGGTTTCTACAGGGCTCCTCTGACACAGGCCTAGGCCTGGCCCTGGCCTGGGGGTTAGAGACCCATGAGGAAAACTAAGGAAAAAAAAACTCAGGAGGAAGCTCAGGGGGGTCCATGATCTACGGTGTGACCTGAGGATGGGCGAGCAGTGATAGATAATGAAGGAAGCCCAAGGCTTCAGGAGAGAAGATGGGCCCCAAGCGGCTCCAGAGGGTGAGGGCTGCGGGTTAAATGTTGGGTGGATGTGGGTAGATGCTGCAGGGGGCAGCAGAAGAGCAGGTGGAAAGCTCCCACCAGGCCAGGACTGAATCCAACCATCACAGCCTCTCCCCTTCCTTGCCCCACTGTTTCCTGATCTGCCTGTGGTGTGAGGCATGTGGGTGAGACAGATGACAGGCACACAGACAGACAGACAGACAGACAGGCAGCTGGAGAGTGTGCCTGCATCCCTCTCCTTCCTGGGGTTTCAACTATGTGTTGTCTTTTCTGGAGTATTCCTGATACTGATTTTGTGTGTGCATGTGTGAGCATGTGTGTGTGTGCATGTGTGTGGTGTATTCAGCAGGTTGCATGGGTGTGCTGGGCACTGCACGGTGTGTGTGTGTGTGTGTGTGTGTGTGTGTGTGTGTGTGTGTGGTGTGTTCCTTGCTGTGGCTGATGCCAGCAGGGGCTGACCAACCAACTCTGGACCCAGGCTGGAGGCTGCTTTGGTCATGGCCGTCCTTCCCTAGGTGTAAACCACCTTCTGCACAGCCTGGAAAGGGGAGCCCGGGGCCCCCTTCTTTTCCTTGGCTTTGTGTTCCTGTGTCTCTTTGTCTCCCCTGTATGCTGTCTTTTGTTCCTGTCCTCCGGCTCTGTGTGTCTCTATCTCTGCATCTCGCTGTCTTTGTTTCTCTCCCTTTCTGCCTCTGTGTGTCACAGCTCGGTCGTTAATTCATTTTCCCATTAAGACTGACTGCACAGTCCCGTGCGGGGTGTGTGTGTGTGCGCGCGCACGCACAAGAGTTCTTTCTTGCTTTCCCTGTTTCTGAGGCGTCTCTGAAATCTGCCCTGGACATGTGTGTGTGTGTGTGTGTGTGTGTGTGTGTGTGTGTGAGATGGAGCTGCTCCCCACCTGGGTTCTGCTCCCTAACTCGGCTCCAGCTCCTTTCCTCTGGATGCACTTGGCCCTGTCCCTCCCAGTGTCTCCTCCAAATCTCTCCTGGTGCTCATGTTCTGCAGACAAGCACAAGCACTGGCGATCTGTCCATTCGTTTCTCTGTCTGTCCAACAGTTATTTCTGAGCCGCTCTCCTGAGACTCCCTGCTTGTCCTCCTTCTGCAGGACGCTGCCTGGCCTCTCTGCCCCTCCCCACCTCCATCACCCCATCGCGGTGAGCGCCCAGCTTCCTGAGCCTCTGCCTGGCCCCTGGCCTTCAAGGCTACCCCTAGGCTCAGCATCTGGTCCACTCCCCCCCGTGTTCCTGATTCACCCCACCCCAACAGGTCACGTTCCAGTGAACCTGCCAGATTGCCAAGGGCTCCCCAAGGCTCCCCGCCTCCGGTGAGCCTCCGTTCCGTCTCTCTCTCTTCACCACGACTCCTGAATGTCTGTTTTCCAACACCACTCAGAGCCGTTCCTCTGGTCAGTAGTCCATCGCCCATGCCCTCCCCGTACCTCCCCTGCCTTCTCAGCCCTTCCTGTCATCACAGGCTGGAGGTGTAACCTGTCTACCCTAAAATGTGCAACTCTGCAGGGGAAATCCTCGGACTCCCCCTCCCGCCATGCCACCCCTCGCGGTGTTCTTCACTGGCTATGTGGGACACGGACCGTGCTGTCACTTTCCCTTCTGGACGTCCTTTCTTTGTTCCTTCCTTCCACCAGCGCTGACTGACCGCCTCCTCTGAGGCTGCGGCTCCCGCTCCCCTCCTTCTTCCAGTCTTATTGAATTTTGCCTCTGTTCTGTGCATCACTGCAGGGGAGAAGGAGAGGGAGAGAGGGAGAGACAGAGCACGCACAAGCTTGTGTGTGTGTGTGTGTGTGTGTGTGTGTGTGTGTGTCGCCCACTGCCTGTCCCTCACTCCATTGCTTCCACATCTGCCTCCCTCTCTTTCTTTCCCAGGAATGGATACTCAGAGAGGATGCGGACTGATTTCTCTCTCTGTTCCTGTCCATCCCCCCATCCTTTCCCTGGGCAGATCATGGCCAGCTCCCACTCAGGCCCCCCCTCCTCCCTTGGGTTTGTCCCTCTGATGTCTCTGGTCAACTCTTTGTCAGGTGCTCACAGAACCTCTCACCAGGATTTTGGAGCTAGCACACCCCCTCTCCCGTTGTGGTCCCCTCCCCTATCACAGATGGCCAGTCTCCCACTGCCACCCCAGGCCAGCTTCACACCCCAAGTTCCTCACCCCTGTCCAATGCCAGGTCCCCAAACAGCTCCCCTTGTGACCATGACTGCCCTCCTGCCAACCTCTTCACCTTTCTCCCTTCTCACTTCCCACCCAGGCCCCCTCTGGCCTCTCCATCCTGGCCTCTGGCCCCTGAGTTCCAATCTGCTTACCCCTACCCGCCCCGCCCCCCCGCAGGAATGGCTTCTCCACAGCTTCCCGGGTTCTTGCTTCATGGGCCCCAATGCCCTGTGGTACCCAGATTGGGGTGATGGGCTGGGGGACATGTGGCCCCCTCTTCTCTTCCACCTGCCTTTGCAGGGGTCAGCCCTTGCTGCCTGTACCCAAAGGAAGGAATGAGGATTAGAAGGCTGTTGGGCTGAGTATTGGTGGTGGTGGTGGTGTGTGTGTGTGTGTGTGTGTGTCGGGCTGGGTGCACATGTGGTTTGTGTGTCTGTGTTTCCTGAGAAATGGTCTGCTGGGAACTGTCCTGCTTCATGGCCACCCTGGCTGTCTGCACATCTGTCTGTCTGTCTGTCCGCTGTTGATGGCTGGTATGTGCGTGGCTCTCGGAGCACAGGGATCTGTGGGAGTGACCCTCTGTGTGTCCTTCCTTCTTTTGGACACTCCAGGGCCATCACAGGCTCTATGGCTAGCCGTATGGCTAGCTATGTCCTGCCCTCTGTCCTGCTATCCAGCTCCCATGGGGCACACT